CCACACTCCCTTGAAGTAAATGTTTGAAGTAGGGTACTTAGTGGCAGAAAACATGCAAGTAACATCATAAAAAACCTTTAAGAATTTGTGAAGTTTATCCACATTTCCCCATTCTTCTTCCGAAAGCATAAACATTTTAAAAATATTATCCCTTTGCCCCCAATGTTATAAGGCTTGCTTATAATAAATGGCATGTTCAAGCATCAAATAAGTTGAATTCCATCTCACACACATATTTAACCKCAATCTTCTAGTTGTGTTTAAGTGAAAACTTTTTTTAGCAAGTTCATAAAATCTATGCTTCTGGACAGCTGATTTTTTTATATTTTTCACACCATCACGGATTTTAGAAATAACATCATCAACAATGTTCAAACCAGCTTATACAATAAGATTCAAAATATGGCTACAACAACGAACTTTGAAAAAATTACCACCACATACCAAAGATTTATGTATTGAATATCTCAATTTCAAAGAGTTAGTCATCACATCATTGTAACTAGCATTATCTAATGTGATGGTAAAAATTTTCTGATCAATATTTCATTCGCTTAAGCACATGACTACCCCATCTGCTAAAGATAGTCCATCAAAAGGAGGTGCCAAAGCTTTAAAGCGAATAATTCTTTTTTGTATATTTCAATTGTTGTCAATCCAATGAGCAGTTATACACATGAATTCATCATCAGTGTGTTCAGATCTCTAATTATCATAAGTTAAACAAATCTGACCAAGTGTATTAGACAAATCACTTTTCACACCCTCTCTCTCTTTCACATAACTAGACATGATATCTCTTTTAGCAGTATGCCTAATCACATTTTTAAATTTAGGATTTATAAATTGAATAAAAAAATTTAAAACCAGGTTCTTCAACAGTAGTAAAAGGGTGTTTTCCACATACAAGAAAAATTGATAATGCCCTACGAGACTCTTGTTGATCAAACTTGTAGTTTTTAAAAGAAGTACTCCCATCAATGTTTGATTGAGTAGTTACTTTATATTGTCTAATATCCTGAATTGTACGTCTAGGGCAACGTTCTAAATGACACTTCAAGTGGGTGGTTCCCTTACTTGACTTACCTTGTAATATTTTCATGCAGTGCTTACATCGTGCCTTCTCCGAATTAATCTTTTTCATTTCTTCCCACACCTTAAATGTCAATATTTTCTTAGTGGAAGTCTGGTCAAACTCTTGATAATCATCATCAACTATATTTACTCCTGCAGCTGCACTTTCACTTGCTATTGACATGATAGTAATTATTAAATATGAAATAACCTGCATAATGAATTCTAATTTTATCAAKAAGACAAGCATATATTAAATAAAAAACTAAAAGAAAAATAATTTATCAAAAAAACTAAAATAAAAATAAAGTCAATTTTATCTACCAAGAAATAGATGGGACCAAGTCAACAACATATCTAAATTCAATATAAATCATAATTTATTTACATTAAAAAAAGAATATAAATTATGAATTTGCAAAAAAATTAAAAAGGAAAACCAATTGCAGATTATTCAATATAAATTCTGAATTCAATAATCAATATAAATCAGAATTTATTTACATTAAAAAAAGAATATAAATTCAATATAAATTCTGAATTTGCAAAAAAAAAAGAAAAACCAATTGCAGGTTATTCAATATAATTTCTGAATTCAATATAAATCAGAATTTATTTACATTGAAAAAAGAATATAAACTCAATATAAATTCTGAATTTGCAAAAAAAAAGGAAAACTAATTGCAAATTTGCAACATTACCAAAGCCAAATACAATGTTTTTTCTTTAGGAATTAGGATAATCAAATCTAACACTTTCAGCACTTTTGAAAGACAAACTAAGCCAATAAATATGTGCAGTGAATTCCTAATGCACCAGGTTGTTTTTATCATTCTCTAACAAATCTCTAATAGCATTTAGACAAACAATAGCATTCGGCTATGTAAACAGTAAACACTAAACATTAAATAATAATTTTGTAATACAAACTTACCACCGGTGATTGTGTTCGCCGGAGCTGAGTTTGTGGTGACTATGAGCTGCGATTTTAATAATCAAAAGTGTGTCAATTCACGTATGAGAAAGAGAGAGAGAGAGAGAGAGCTCACTGCCGCCGCCGGTGCCTATATTTGCCGCCTCGCCGGTGTTTGAGATTTGAAAGAGAAGTGAGAAGAAAAAGGAGAGAGAGAGAGAGAGAGAGAGAGAGAGAGAGAGAGAGAGAGAGAGGA